CTGCTGACATCTCAGTCGCAGAAAGGAATTATTGTGTTGGACAGCTCCAAATTGAAGGCAAGTATTGTAGCGAGAATTGCAATACTTTTTTAATTTTTACATGTCCTGGCTTATTGATTTTTATTTTTTTACACTACACTTCAGCTTTAACCACTTAGGGACCAGAGCAGTTTTACATTCTTGCACACACATGTTAAAGGCTGAAAACTGTTTAAAACCCCCGAACAATTATATATTTTCTTAAAGCAGAGAATAAAAAAATGCCAGTTGCAATTTTTATTGTTGCACGATATTTGTAGAAATTTTTATCAAATAAATTTTAAGAAGTACACTAAAAGGAATTTTAGTGCACACAATATAATACCCAATTGTTTTGGAAAATATAAAAGATGGGGGTGCATCAGGTAAGAAGATATCAAACATGTCAAACATGTAAAAATTATGTGTGCCCATAAATGGTAAAAAAACTACAGTACCCAAAATTGCCCTTAGGCAACTTTTTAAAAGCCTTTACCGCTCATCAATTTAGAGGTAACAGTGAGTGAAGGCACTAGAATGTTGGCTCTTACTGCAATATTTTTGCATGTGATGCATGTTTGCATTTGTAGGTGTGGGGGTGGAGGGCTCTAAATCTTTTTAATTTTTTCTATTTGTTTTTTTATCATTATTTATTTACTTTTATTTATTATTTTAAGCTTTTTAAAATATTTTGTAACTTGCTTTAATATTTTGAACTTTATTGCTATCACAGACGGGGCTAACAATGTGATAGCAGCCATGATCTTGGTATTAACCACTTTAGGGCCAGGAGGTACAGTATACAGTGCATTAAGAAAGTATTCAGACCTCACTTTTTTCAATTTTGTTATGTTGCGGCCTGATACTACGGTTGTTTAAATTTCTCTTTTTTTCTCATTAATCTACACTCAGTACCCCATAATGATAAAGTGAAAACAGAATTTTAGAAATGTCTTTGAATTTATTAAAGAGAAAAAAATGAAATATCACATGTACTTAAGTACTCAGAACATTTACTCAGTACGTTGTTGAAGCACAGTTGGCAGCAATTACAGCCTGGAGTCTTTTTGGGTACGATGCGACAAGCTTTGCACACCTGGATTGGGGGATTTGCTGCCATTCTTCTTTGCAAATCCTCTCAAGCTCAGTCAGGTTGGATGGGGACCATCGGTGGACAGCCATTTTCAGGTCTCTCAGAGATGTTCAATAGGGTTCAAGTTAGGGCTCTGGCTGGGCCACTCTAGGATATTCACAGAGTTGTCCCTAAGCCATTTCTCTGTTGTCTTGGCTGTGTGCTTAGGGTTGTTATTAGGTTGGAAGGTGAACCTACGGCCCAGTCTGAGGTTCTAAATGCTGTGGAACAGGTTTTTATTAAGGATATCTCTGTACTTTGCCCCATTCAGCTTTCCCTCAACCCAGCCTAGTCTCCCAATCCCTGCTGCTGAAAAACACCCCCACAGCATGATGCTGCCGCCACCATGCTTCACTTTTGGGATTGTATTGGGCAGGCGATGAGCGGTGCCTGGTTTCCTCCAAATATAACATTTAGAACTGAAGCCAAACAGTTCAATCTTGGTTTAATCAGACCAGAGAATCTTGTTCCTCACAGTCTGAGGATCTTTTAGGTGCTTTTTTGCAAACTCCGTCTAGCCACTCTACCATAAAGGCCAGATCGGTGGAAGGCTGCAGTGATGGTTGTCCTTCTGGAACTTTGTCTTATCTCCACACAGGATCTCTGGAGCTCAGTCAGAGTGACCATCAGGTTTTTGGTCACCTCTCTTACTAAGGCCCTTCTCCCTCCATTGCTCACTTTGGCCGGACGACCAGCTCTTGGAAGAGCCTTGGTTGTGCCAAACATCTTCCATTTGAGAATTATGGATCTATGCCTTGCAATAATCCTGTCTCTGAGCTCCGCAGGCAGTTCCTTTGACCTCATGGCTCTTGCTCTGATACCGTATGCATTATCAGCTGTGAAGCCTTCTATAGAGAGGTGTGTGCCTTTCCAAATCATGTCCAATCAATTTAGTTTACCACAGGGGGACTCCAATCAAGGTGTAGAAACATCTCAGCAACGAGCCAAAGAAATGGGAGGCAGCTGATCTAAATTTCAAGAGTCTGAATACTTATGCCAATGTGATATTTCAGTTTTCCCTTTTTTATACATTTGCAAACATTTCAAAAATTCTCTTTTCACTTTGTCATTATGGGGTACTGAGTGTAGATTAAGGAGAAAAAAAAGAATTTAAACAACTGTAGTATCAGGCTACAACATAACATTGAAAAAAGTGAAGGAGGTCTGAATACTTTCTGAATGCACTGTATATACGAAGGGAGGTTCTAAAGTGTTAAAGATGACAGTTAGATAGATGAGGTTGTAAAAGAACAGTAACACAGATCAATGCTTTGTTGTGACACAAAGTACAGGCTCGCTTCCAGCTTAAAGGTTATTCTAAGATAGTTGTAAACGTTTTCGGGACAAGATGTATCTATACTATAAACTGATCATATAAGGAAAATGTAAAGTGCCAGTCTCTCTACATAAAATCTTGTGTCTGTCTCTGCCTTGTAAACAAAATTACGAGCTGTAAAGTCATGAGTGCTCAATTATCAGTAAGACTGATTGTAATAATTTTTATTACCCATCCAGTGGAAATGTTGGTAGGCATTAATCATTCCATAAAGGATATCTCTCAAAAATCTCTGTATTGCATAAATAGGACTTTATGACAGATTTGTTTTTAAAGTTTTAGATAGGGATTCACCGATACCGGTTTTTCGATATCGAGTACGAGTAACGATATTTCTTTCCCTGGTATTCGCCAATACCTAATACCGATACCGGAAGTCCCTTTAAGGAAGCCATGGGGCATGAAATGACTCGCCACCCAGCTTCCTGAATAGCGGGGAAGCCGGGCCAGTGGTGGATCCAGGAGGGGTGCAACGGGGCAATTGCACCCCCCCCATATAGAGCTGCTGCCTGCCTCTCCCACCTGCAGTAGTAGTGACACAAGTACATCTGTAGATCCCCGCACAGCTGCCAGGACATAGAGGTGTCACTGTCACAGACTTTACTGCGGTTCAGTGTAAAAAACAGCACACTAAAAGTACTGTGCTGGTTTTTTTACACTGAACCGCAGTAAACTCTGTGACAGTGACAGCTGTATGTCCCAGTGGCTGTGTGGGGATGCACAGGTGGCTCTAAAGGAGTCTGAGGGGGGGGGGGGGAAGTGGGATTGGGAGACTGTAGCTGGTGGTATTCAGTATTGCTGACTTGATGTATATTGCATAGCTGGTGGTATTCTGCATTCCTATATAGTGATTATACGGCAATGCAGAATACCACCAGCTATACAGGAGTACAAATTCCAGCAATACATTATACAAAGCTGGAGTGGCGGTTTCGTGGATCCCACCGAAGAAAATTATTGCTCCCTCCGCCGCTCTGCTGGGCCTGGCCGGCCGCACCGAACAATCGGGACCCAAAACAGAGGTTGCACTTTAGTCAGGCAAATTAGGCGGCCGCCTCAGCCCACACTGGAGCATTGCAGCTGCCTAATACCGTACCACCGATACCGCAAGTCCCAAAGGAAGCCAGGTGGCGTGTAATGACTCACTGACCGGCTTCCTGATTAGCCCGGTAAGCCGGGCGGCATGTAATGACTTGCCGCCCAGCTCCCTCGTCACCAGGTGATGAGGGAGCATGGAGCTAGCTTTCTGGCCATTCAGTAGGCCGAGGGGGTCGGTAATGACTCGCTGCCTGGCTTTCTGGTTGGCCAGCTTCCCGACCAATCATTGAAATCAGGAAATTTGCTGTTTGCAAATGAGAATACCAAATATCTAATGTTTACCTGACGTTATACAAAAGATGAATTTAAAAAAATTAGAAACTGTATTATATAAAACAAAAGATGAATACATTATTTTTTAGAAACTGTGGTATATTATATATGAAAACAGTATACATTTCCTCTCAGAGGATTATCATAGTTTAAGTTTCCATAGGCGTTAAATTATGTTTATTCTTTTCAGATATATAGGCACAAATAATTTGGGAGTAGGATTGTCTCTGATGATCAGTAAGCAGCTGTAGCATAGGTTAGTTAACAAAAAAGTCTATGAGTCAGGTTGGTAGGTTTTTGCTCAATATCATTTTGACTCTCTCCATGAAACCGAATAGGATGGAAGAGTGGCAACAAAAGTTTAGGTAAATGACAACATTTGCCACAACCTAACTCACATGACCATAAGAAATTATTTAAAAAGCAAAAATGATTACTAAAACCCCAATTCCAGCTTTTACCCAAAATAACATGGTGGGTCCCTTGGCATTAGCTAAAATGAAAAAGCAAGGAATACAACACATTACCCGATTGGACTAGGAACAGGCGACGTCATGGTCCCCACCTTGTCCAATCAGAGAATGCCTTGTATGCACTGAAAAAAATACAAGGCATTTTCCAAATGGTGACGGGTTCGAGCAAGGAACTCCATGGGCTTAGTGTGCCGAGAGAAAGGCATTGGGGCCACACCTGGAAGGTCACTGTATGTAGCATGGACTACTTCAGTGATTTTCAGCATTGCCATACACCTCCAGATATCACATGCGGATAATTACATCGAGTCAAGCTGGACCAATGTAAGTTTCAAGAAAATATAATTCCCGGAGTTTCGCTTTCAATAGTACATTTAATTATACAGATCTCTACTCTAGAGCTTAATGAGAAATTTGGTTCCAAAAGAGAGACAGCATTAAAGAGTCTGCAGGAAATACAAACTTGCAAGTCAGTAGGATGTTTATGCACCTGATGAGGGAATAACATTTTTAGCAGTTGGAATGTCTGACCACAATCTAATGTCTGTGGGCTGCTTCAGAACAATGCATCTGGTTGATAAATTAATCTGTTAGTTTATTTGAGGGAGAGTACTTTAAAAAATGTAGTATTACAATTAGGGACAGCTTTGTAGCTCTGCAGATGATCTGTGGCACACAGAAGATGATTTTCCTTCTCCTTCTCTGGGGCATTGAAAAATACTTCCCATACAAGGAGTTTGGCATGGGACCAAGCTGTCCAGAGATCAGTACAGCAGCACTGCCCTTCTGCAAAATGATGGAAGAGGAGACACACTAAAGGCATAGAGAGAAACTGGGCACACGGACATCTGGCTGAAGGCAAGGAAAGAGAAATCCCAGCACCTGGGACATAGAGAGTATAAGGCGTAAAAACTCAATTTAAAAGAAAGAAGACGAAACAGAAAATAATCACAAGAAGAACTGACAGTGCTGCTGTGTATCTGCACCAGTAATCTGAGAGACAGCGGTAATGAAATGGGAGTTGGGAACATGGCCAGCTAAACACCTAACAAAATCAGCTGAGAGGGGGGTGCCGAGACGGGGAAGGGAGTGCTGTGTTTCTTCCAGATGTTGGTGAAGAGTCAGCTGGAGCTGTAGTAGCAGGAAGCAGCAGTAACTTAGCAAAGAGATCCAAATTACGTAGGATTAAGAACAAGTCAATTTGTTACATCCGGCTGGAGCTTTCTCCTCTGCCCCAGGGACCAGGAATCAAGCTCCTGACACAGAATGGGCTCCAGCAGCATCCTTTCTGATGGATTCCTAAGACGGTTCTTGTGTCTTGGAGGGACCTAGGAGCTGTATCCAGAAACTCCATTCTTTTCACCAATGCAAGGTGAGCTAATTTTTTCTAACCATTACCCCTAGAGTAACTTGTACGCTTTGTGGCACCTGCTCTTTAGTACAAAAGATAATACACATGCTTTGATACATTGAGGTATCTCCTATACTTCAAGTCATGGTCATGTCTTTACCAATACTGATAGAGTGCAATATTGAATGGTACCAGCCATATACTGTATACTAATATACCACCCACCTCTTCATGTTACTTTTTGAAGTTTATGATCTAATGCCCCTCTCATGGTCAATTGCACACACCTGGACCAATCAAGGTGGAGTCAGCCAAGGCTCTATTCAGATCTGTAGGTTGCGGCAACATAAAGTAAAGTCAATGCTTTGCCGTATGTTACTGCAATGCATGAAACTTAATGCAGTGGGTTGAAGTGACGATCATATTAAACTATCAATGGGTTGTGTGCAACACTGAAAAGAAATGCTGTGTGGTGCAGGGTTGGCAACCCATTCAAAATAAATTGGCTGCTCTACTCCAACGCACATTAACGCACCACCAAAGTGGGAATCGGCCCATAATCTACCAGGATGTTTTTGAGTGCCACTCAGAAACTCAATGAAGACAGTTTCCCTGGTGTGAAGTGACTCCAGGACACCAGAGCTGAAACACGAGAGTTTCCACCACTTGGACGTCATGATGCCCTGAAAAGAGTTCTTTGTTAATGCTTTTTAGCTGAAAGAACAAATCTGACAACTGTTCCATAAAAACGTTGTACAAGCTAAGACTTAACCCTTAGGAGGTTCAATGGATATGCAACTGGCTAAGGGATAGATATCAGAGTGTGGTTGTACAGAGACCAGTCACTAGTGGGGTACCACACGGGCAAGGTATGTCTTTATGCTGATGACACACAATGTGCAATAGAATTATTATTCCTGGAGGTGTTTGTAACGTGGAACAAAATTTGTCATTGCTGGAAGATTGGTCACAGCAGTAGAAGCTGCAGTTCAACATTTCTAAATCCAAACCAATTAATTTAGGGGAAAAGACTCTCCTGATAGAATACAGTATTGGGGGCAGAGTGTTCGCAAGAGCAACGGAGGAAAAAGATTTCAGGGTTCTTAAGGAAAGTCTAGTCTTGAAAGAAGGGAAATGGGGGACATTATTGACACATTTAAATACATTAAGGGTGTGGATATGGTTCAGGAGGGTTCAGAAGTATTTTCAACATGAAAATAACTAGGGATGCATCTATACCGATACCAGTATCGGTGCCCATACCGAGTATTTGCTCCTAATGCCTAGCAATTGGTGACGAGGGAGCATGGAGCAGGCTTCCCGGCCAATCAGGAAGCCTGGCGGTGAGTCAATATCCACCCCCAGGCTTTCTGATTGGCCAGAATGCCAGCTCCATGCTTCCTAGTCGCCTGGTGATGAGGGGGCCGGGCGGCAAGTCATTACATGCCGCCCGGCTTCCCGGGCTAATCAGGAAGCCGGGTGGTGAGTCATTACACGCCACCCGGGTTCCTTTGCGATTTTCTGTACCGGTATTCGTTGTCGGCAAGTACCGGGAAAAAAAAATATCGGTACTCTTACTCGATACCAAATAAAAACTGGTAATGGTGCATCCCTAAAACTAACCTTAGAAAGTATTATTTTACTGAAAGAGTAATCGATGCTCGGAACAGACTTCCAGCAAAGGAAGGGACGGTAAGCAAATGTAAACATACTTGGAACAAACAGATTTATACTCAGACAAAAAAGTAAAAATAAATAAATAAATAAGGGGGACAGACTTCATGGACCATTTGTACATTTTCTGCCGTCGCTCTTCTATGTTCTGTGTTTCCATGATGGTGACTAATGCTGCAAGACTCACTCCCATCTCCAACTATTCGCTTTTGAACACTGCTTTTATGAACAAATGTAAAAAGTATGTTGGGAGATTTGTGTAACTCTGAAATGGATCATTTTCCCACACTTGCTTTGATGATTGTTCATTTCTACACTAACCAGCGATCACAAACAACAGACGAATCTTCCGGCTTTCACATACAAATCAGAGCACCAAACCCTTAACTCATACTGAACTTTATTCATTTACTTTTTTATCATTCACATATAAACTCTTCTTTTCATTCATTGTTTTTCATTTCTTTTTGTAGCATAGCATTAAGAACACAGTTACAATATTCAAAAACACCTTTATTTAATTTGTAAATACATTTTTAGATTACTTTGTACTAGAAATGTCATTTTAGTGTCATTATATCTATTTTAGTGTCATTATATCTCTAATAACACCAATAAAAACTAACACTGGCAGACTAGTCTGGTATTTATTGTTTTTTTTTTTAATTGCTGTGTCCCTACTGGGTAGATTCACCTTCTCTATCCTACTGACCATTGTCACCAGCCCAGAAAGTAATGAGAAATCAAAAATTTGGAGGTGAGGGGCACTTATTCCAGTGACAACAGATTGAGCCCCTGTTGGAGAGAGGGAAAAGAAGCCTGAGAGGTGTCCTAAGCAACCAACCAATCATAAGCTGATTATACACTGTTAGAATTTCGTCTGATAACTGAAAACCAGCTGAAATTCTAACCCTGGGTTGGTCTGTTGGCACCACTTGGCTTGACAAACTTCGATTGAAAAATGGAAGGAGGCGTTTGGAAAATTGCCCAATCAGCTGCAGTCACTACTGGGGTATTCTGACAGCTGCGGGGGCCAGCTGTCAGCATACAGTAGCCGGCAGGGGAGATTCCTCTATCCATGCTGTTTAGATTGCATGGGGGAATCAAACGATTTTATCTCATTCAGCCCATATGTTTAGTTTTTCCAGTCCAAAAAAAAAGTTGCTTTTGGAAATGGATGTTTTCACAGATGATGAGTGCTACATATGTTGTATAGGTTATAGAAGAACTCTGGGAAAAGCACAAACTTACCTTTGCACTGCACCCTCCTCACACTGAAAAGTGCTCGTTTTGTCTAGGGGCAAAAATAGAGCAGATTTACTCACCTGACCTGGCTCCCTCTGAGCTGCTAGACCGGTCCCCACTGCCTCTTCTTCAGGCTCCGGTGGTCTAAGGACCACCTATGCCATCATGTCTTATGCAGGTCCATTGACTTGCATTGAGAATGCCGGGGATATTCCACAGCAGGAGCAGAGAGGGAAGGAGGTGAGTACAAACCGCCACAGCACTGAGGTGAATAATACAGCTTTATTTGAGCCCCCAGACAAAATGATCACTTAGCCCTTGCAGTGCAGGGGTAGCTCCACTGGAAGTGTAAGTTTTTTTTATTTTTTACAGAGTTCTTCTTTATATTTAATTCATGGAGAGAATGTCCTTTCTGAGACCACTCAGATCTAAAAACGTGCTTAATACTGCATTACAATTAGTCGTCAGTTATTGATGTTATTATAATCATTAATGGATTATTTGAAGAATGTGACCTCTGTGTTTACTCGGAATGTTGATGACATACCTCAAACCTCTATGTATATAGCTGTGTCAAGTTTGTTTTCAGTACAGGATTTGTGTACATGTCTGTGACTTCGCTCCTGTTATTCAGCTCCGATCTGTATACTAGATCCCCGTGTTTGGCAGAAAATTACTGGGAGTTGTTGGCAGAGTCTTCCTGCGTTCAAATCGTAATCGGTTAGACTAGACCAGTGTCTATGAACGATGAGTGATGTGTACGGTGTCATTTTCTGCCCATCCATGCTCGCTGTGCCTTGTGCATTTATTAAATGTCCTCTCCGAGCATGTTAATGAGTCAGTCCACACAAAAATTAAATATTTGTTTCTTCATATGCTGGCACACTAAAAAAAACAACTGGTTCCTACAACCTAAAGGGCATCTATGGTCAAAAACTAAAAATCAACTTGTATTTCTACACTGAATCTCCATACGTTCTATCCAACTCCTAATAACCAGATCCATCTAGACATTTGTAAACTTTCTTAATGAAGATGTCCGTAGGATGTACTTCCTCGGCCCTGTGAATATGCAATTTCTTGTGTCACCACTCAGAGAGCTTGCCATCTGAACTACAACTCAACGTCTGAACAATGTAACATCATCATTGCTTGCCGGAAGCAATGCATGATGCGATGTGTAGTTTTGTAAAAACCAAGATTGCATCACATCAAGCAGCAGGGAAAGAGACGCAAAGCACACTGGGAATCTAGGAAGTTGATGGTAGTGATGGGCAGACAGAAGGCAGCACTCACTACGCAAAAGGGATTTGTCCAAGTAATCTTTGATTGCATTACAAAAACAACTCTAGTATGTATTCCTATTACAGTGCTAATGTTATAACAGGAGAGGATATGCTGGGACTTTACAACTCCTTTAACTGCTACTAAACAGGGCCAGCACAAGCCTGCACAGTCTCCGATATGGAGGCCTCTGGCGCCCTAACACTACTTTGTATAACTTATGACTGCACTGCACTGAATATGTGTCTCATAAACTGTGCATTTACAAGGCATTTAAAGTTAAACTGTGCTCTGACTAGTAGCGTCATGTTTAGCTCCTCTCGGCACAGCAGACACTGTAAGGTCCATGTCACAACAGTTGTTGAAAAACTTTTGTTTCTTACCAGTCAGAAGATGCTGGACACATGGCCGAGCCCTTCTTGTTTTACTGGGGGGAAAAACAGAGACATAAAATTACATCGTAACCATGTAGTTCTACAAGAAAGAACATTGCATTATGCAAGAACACTACCACCTAGTGGCAGAACTACCAATTACACAATAGTATACGAGATTGGTTGTTGCACCTATGTCTATATAAACAACATGCTAACACAAACAGCAGTGATAGGACCGCTAAGAGAGGAGACAGAACACTCACCTGCTCCTGGCCAGCAAGGTAGTAATGTTGTAGGAGCTAGGCACAGGTGGGTGCTGTCTTTAGGGATCCTTTTGCTGTTGAGTGCTGATGAGCAAACTGAACTGGGTTCGGTTTGCTTGGACTGGATTTCTGGCCCGAGTTCAGCAAACGTTCAATAAAACTAAACCCGAGGGCGTCAGCCGTTTAGCAACCAAGGACACTGTGTGATCACTGCATAGCCCTTCTGAAGAACCTAGATTTTGGGTTATATGGTGAGTAGGCTTGACCCTGTGTTCCCCTGTGAGACACTGTAAGGTAGCAGAGTGGCCATCTAGAAAACCCAAGCACCGTCATATGGGGGTGGAGACATGTAAATACCGACTTTGAACAAGTCAATGTTTCTATAGATAATTCTGTGTTTATATAGGTGGCTCCTGCAACAATATAAAATAGGTATCTGACCAGCTGAACACACCATCTGGCATGAAATCTCCAACCCCAATTATGTTTTAGAGATTTATAGCTAAGATTCCAAAATAGCTGAATGTACAAAACAACATGTGTTTTAGATGTGCATGTCTTTTTTTCAATTTTTCTCCTCTTTTTGTAATTATACTCCCCCCAGGAAGGGGATTATATCTCTTGTACATGCCTACTGATTGCTGGTCTATTTATATTACAATATGAGAGTAACAGATCAGTGCGTCTTCCAAGGAAGTCACAGAGGTACCTGCTATACTCATTATCTAACACTGAATGTTTTTTCTGCCGCTGCCTTCCTTACCTAACCAAGACTTTTTCCATGACTATAGATAATGTCTCTGATGTTTGGGAAACCCAGAGCTCTTAATGCTTCTCACTTCTCCTCTTCACATGAACGTAGTCCACACGCAGAATGCAACCTGGTGCTGCTGGGGTGTCGAGGAGCTGGGAAGTCAGGTGAGATAAATATCGCTGTCAGAGCGATACAAAAACAGAGCTTTCATATCTTCTATATCTAAAATACAGTATATATACACTGCCTGGCCAAAATAAAAGATACACTCTAATATTATATTGGACCACCTTTAGCTTTGATTATGGCACACATTCCCCGTGGCAACTTTTCAATATGTCCAGAGTTGCATTAATCTTTCACCAAGATCTTGTAGTGATGATGGGAGAGTCGGACCACTGTGTGAAGTCTTCTTCAATGGGGTTAAGGTCTGGACACTATGGTGGCCAATCCATGTGTGAAAGTGATGTCCCATGCTCCCTGAACCACTTTTTCACATTCGCATTGTCATCTGGGAATATGCCCGTGCCATCAAGGAAGAAAAAATCCATTGATGGAAAAACCTGATTATTCAGTATATTCATATAGGCAGCTTACCTTGTTTTTGGGGGACATAATGTTGCTAGAACTGACCAACGGAAGCAACCCCAGATCATAACACAGCCCCCACAGGCTTGTGACCTTTCTCTGGCCAGGTAGTATATCTTTACCCTACATAAAATACAACAATGTACATATATACATTTTTAGGAACTAACATGAACTAATTATGAACTAATATTTAAAATATAGGGTATAATAACAAATAATTATGAACTAATTTTAAAAATAATAGGGTGGATTTACCATTAGTACATGCCAGACCTGCAAATAATCTGGTTATATACAAATAAAAGCTCACTGTCCAATAGAAATGTCAGCTACAGGGATCAGCAAAATTCCCAACATCCTTTTTGCTGATTGTGATCCAGACTGGCAGAGTAACATCTTCTGATTTGCCAGATCTTTCTTAAACACCTCTTCCCCATCTAAATATACCAGTGCTGTCCATCTTAAAGAAGACCTATGCTTAAAGCGTACCTTTACCCATATCTTTAAAATAACAACAAACACACTTTTTGAAATGTTTAGTAATGACAATCTACAAACACATACGTCTAGATAATTGCCGGCTTTGTATACCTTATTTCTCTTTTCTTCTCCAGTCTTCTGGCAGTGGCCATGTTTACTAAGGGCAGATTACTAGCTCTCCTATTACTTCCTGGATTTTTGGCATATGTGACTAGGACATGTGACTAGGACATGTGATCATGCACATCATCTCAGGGGAGGAAAATGCCTTTCCCTGAGATCTCGTGAGATTACAGATGAGATATCCCAGAAGTGCTCTGCTGATTACAAGGCAATCCCAGTGTGCATTGCTTTGGCAAACTGAAGTCATTTTGCCATTTCAAAGCAGGAAGTGAATGCTCTGCAAGTGTAATTATTTCATAATCACATCATTTTACACCTGACAAGTCTATGTTATTACTAATCATCTTACATAGAGGGATGTATTGGTAGAATTTGATTTATGAGTGTAAACCCTAGCAATTAATTTCTCTTATTTGCTTCCTCAATGAACAGCCCTTGTAAACATATGATTATCTATGAATAGATAGAGTGGCCCTGTCTCTTTAAAGTGAAACAGGACTCACCAATTTAACTGTCTTCAAAACAGTTACTTTCAAGGCATGCCTCTGGTAATATATGTAAAGGTTGCCAGTGTGCTTATTTCAGCTTTCAGACAAACTTTTCCAGCCCTCAAATGACTGGTGCCATAGCTGATCACATGTGCAGCACCTAGACATCTGAAATCCAAATAGAGGCTAAGATAGCACCTTTCTTGATTGTAATGGATAAGAGGGTGTAGTTTCCCTTTAAGGATACTCATTGCTAGTTCCTGGGTGTAGTAGAACCCTGTGAATATTAGGAAAATGTTGGCAGGATATTAAACATTAGGATCTATATTAATAAATTACAGTAGTTAAGAAATAATATGATCAATATTATGGAATCTCTTTCTTTCCAGCATTGACTGTGAAGTTCCTGACCAGACGATTTATTAGTGAATATGACCCTTATCTTGGTGAGTATTCTTTAACAAACTCTACCCGTGGAACTTATTAGAAGTCCAACCTCCACAAGAACAGCCAGTTAGTGGTCAGTAATTAATCCTGTGCCAGAAAAAGGGGATCCAACTCATATCACTGCACTTTTAATGTCAGCTTAACCAAATACCCTGTGCAAAATCTGCTAGAAGGTAACCAATTCACTCAGAGAAATTAAAGAGGCACTAAACTCAGGAGTTAAATCTGAAAAGTATTTCATTCAAGTAACTTAACTATTAACAAAAATGTATCTTATTTGTGCATCACTTGGCTGTAGATCCTCAAACCATCTCTGAATTGGTGCTGACACTGTCCTTCCTTCTGGAGGGTGGCTACTTTTGTTCCACATGGTCCCTGTGTATGTTGTAAAGTAGCCACCATTCCAACCTCGCTCCCATGAAGGACTACAATGTCACATTTAGTTTATGAGTTTACTAATATGTATACATTTTATAATTTCAATACAAATGAGTAAACTAAACGTGAGATTGTAGTCCATTACGGGGGAGCGAGCTTGGAGCGGTGGCTACTTTATTCTCTGCCCCCCCCACATATAAAATAATACCCCACTGTTCTCTGCCCCCCGCATATAAAATAATTGTTGTGGGATCAGGGGTGCCCTCTTACCTGGGGTCCGGCGGGTGCGACGGAGATTGTAGGGTCCTTCTTGGGGTGACTTGGTGCCCGGCGGCGTGCTGCATGTGTGCACATGATCGCATGCATGACATGAGTGCGTGACGTGTGCATGTGGCACTGCCGTGGCTTCTTAGTTGCTTCGGGTGCTGGCCATTGCCGGGGAGGGCCTTGCGAGCACTCCTTCTCTCCCAGCCGTCCCATTGGTTCGCAGGGACCTGTGGCTTCCTGGTTGCCCAGATTCCCTGTTCCCTGTTCCCTGCCCTGTTCTCTGCCCCACATATAAAACAATACACCCCCATTCTCTGCCCCCCCCCACCCCACACAAGAGGCATGAATCTGATCCCTCGTGATTAAGTCAGGTACGGACCGTGTACATGACTTATGAGAGCAGCCGATCCTTGCTGTCCCGGCTCCGTTCCTTTCGGCCGGAGCTCTGCAGTTCTGAGCCCTGTTCGAAAGGATGGATTAGTAAGGTCTGCAGAGCTCCGGCCAAAAAGAACGGAGCCAGGATAGCAAGGAGCGGCTGCTCGCATAAGTCAGATACGCGATCCGTGACGCCGTGCCTGACTGAATTTCCACTCGTCCTCTCTTTTTTTCCACTTGCCAAATGCGAGCGGGCGAGTGGAAATTTTGAGCCCTGGTTAAGGTACTTGAGTGCCTTTTTAAGGCTGAACTCCTGAGTTTAATGTCACTTTAAAATATACACTTGTCTATATCCAGCTCAAATCGTGTTACTCACTCGGTAGTCTTCCAAGTAAAGTGCTTGATGCAGTGGATTGGTACCAAATGTAAACACATTAGGACAGTTTAGTCCTGTGTTACAGTCCAAGTCCAACAAATCAGCCAATACTGCACAGTAAACAGTGCATCAGTGCTGAAGACTGAAAGTGCTCTCAATCAGTTCTCTGTAATCCACTACACTTACAGGGTTATTCACAAAAGGGTGAAGAGTTTGGAGAAGGCAGGAGAAGTGAACAAGCTAGGACAAAATAGCAAAATTGGAAAGTGAGCTGAATTGGAGAATCTTTCTAAATCAGCTATTTTGGTTTAGATTTCTCGCCTTCTCCAAACTCTTTGCCCTTTTCTAAATAACTCTGTTAGATTTCATGCAGTTTTTCACGTGTTTGATGGGAGGTCTGCTTCCTGGAAGCACTGCTGTGAAACATCCTCTCACTATGCAGTGTCACCAGATTCAAATTTCTAAGACATTGTGAATATGTCTGTTAGCTGTGAGAAACTTCCCTTTCACTTTGATGAATCAAGCTTTGTGTATGTGTGAGATGGCAGGGAGGCCATGGTGGGGTGCTTAGAATGATATCTCCTGTACTGAACATAGGTATGCCTAAGGGGTTTCCAATTCAGAATTCCAATTCTGGCACATTGCAGCCATGCTTGGATGAAAATGAAGTCTTGTGTCGGTGAGCTGTGTTCATTGTATGCATTTCAAGGCTTCATTTTCAACTTTAAGTATCGTGTGCTACAAATTATGACTTACGAGTAATCGCAGGTTTCGTTCAAGATAAGATTATTTGTGTCCTTGTTAGTACCAGTCCAACAATATTTTAAATTTCACGTTCTTCTGGCATGTGTGATTTTACTTACTCGTTGGTTGATTAGCCCATGAAGAATTTTTGCATTCCTCCTCATGTGATTTTTTGGTACCACATATAGCATACCTCCCAACTTTTTGAAATGAGGAGGGACACCTTCCAGCACAATTAATTTAGGCAACGGACACACCCCTGCCACATCCCTAATTATGAGGATTGCTAAGAATTGATATGCAATAATGTCTGGTTAAACCCAGAATTGTTTGTTTTTCCATATTTTTTTTCTTTACGCTGGCTTTTCAAAACAGTAAACAAGAGAATGAAGAGATTAGATGAAGTTGTTAGTGCAGAATAACACTTTTGGGAGTTAAATATAATCTTTTCATAGATATCTGTACATCAGATCGAAAAGACGGACAACAGAGGAGGAAAGAGGAACAGAGAGATCTGGTTCCAAATGTGGGAAATTTGGGATCTCAGCAATTTAATCCCTCTCAAAATCAGATAACTGTTTATTTGAAGTTCTTCTATGCAGTGGCACCACAAGGGAGGTGCAGGGGGTGCGGCCCACACCCGGGTGACACCATTGGAGGGGTTACTGACAGTCATTTTGGTGTCACCCACGAGAGAGGAGGGGACCCGGCGGCATTCCTTATCCCGGGGGAACGTCCCCTCCTCTCTCTGCCGATGTGCATCACCAAGATGGCCGCCGGCAGGTATCACAAAGATGACCGCGCATGCGCGACGACAGTATCGGCTCCGGTGACATCTGGCCTTGGGACGCCCCTGCTTCTGCACCTTTTTGATATTTAAGTTTCCTCCTTAAGTAACTTTTGCTTAATGTGGCCTGTTCCGAAATACAGGAGCAAATTTTCTTGGATGCTGGGGTCTTTGGACAGGGGACTCCCTTATTGTACATCGTAAGTCATTGGTTTGGATGTCTTTGAATTTAAGTATTATGATTATAATGTTTTATACCATGCTTGTACCCTGGGTTCCCTTGTTTTCATTATATTGAGTGTCCCTAGTTGAGATGGATTCTGAATGCTCTTTTCCCAATTGGGTTTAAACCCAAAATTTCCTATTGTTTCCCCTTGTTTTGTTCTTTTAAAAGTAGTAAAAGTGTGTGAAAACATGATCCTATCAAGGAAATAGGAATATGCCATAGATCATTTTTCCTGCCTGTCAGCGCTTATTGTTTTGTGTACACTAAGCCGCGCATGTGCATCTCAGTGTACAGTCTCAGCCAGTGGCGTAACTAGAACCTTCAGGGCCCCTGGTGCAAGAAACCATGAAGGGCCCCCCCAACCCCCCATCGCCATGGCACCGTGTGGTTAACAGGAAGGCTGCCGAGGTCCCCAGCAAGCATGGAAGCTCAGGCAGCCGCTTCGGTTTAAAAATTTAGTGCCGGTGTTCTGTCGAGAACGCTGACACAGTATCTGCACTTGTGCACAGAGGGAATTAACGAGGAAACCGGCATTTATTTACAAAGTATTAGTGTGTAATCGTTAAATGTGACCGTTAATAATATGCCATCCATGGCAGTAAATGATGGATGACATATTATTTACGGTCACAATTAATGATTCAAACTAAATACTTTGTCAATAAATTCCAGTTTCCTCGATAATAGTGCTGAAGTCGGCAAATTCAACTAGGTCGGCGTTCTCGACAGAACACCGGTATCTGCGCTTAGTATCGGGGAATTTTCACGAGTACGAGTACTTGTGAAAATGCCAGTATTGGCACTGGTGTGTCCCTACTTAATAATAAAATGTATTGCTGGGACTTGTAGTCCTGCATAGTTGGTGCTATTCTGCATTGTTGCATAATCATTATACAGCAATGCAGCAGAATACCACCAACTATGCAGGACTACAAGTCCAAGCAATACATGCCCCC